CGCCCCCTGTTTCTGCCGCCACCATCGCCGCAGCCGCGGCCACCGCCGTCGTATCCCCAACCTCGACGGTCGCCGTGGCCTCGGTTGCATCTGCCTTGGAGAAGAAGACAAAGAGCAAGGGGCCCTACATCTGCGCCCTGTGCGCCAAGGAGTTCAAGAACGGCTACAACCTCCGGAGGCACGAGGCCATCCACACGGGAGCCAAGGCCGGCCGGGTGCCTTCGGGTGCTATGAAGATGCCCACTATGGTGCCCCTGAGCCTCCTGAGCGTGCCCCAGCTGAGCGGAGCCGGCGGAGGAGGGGGAGAAGCGGGTGCAGGCGGTGGAGCGGCTGCAGTGGCAGCCGGTGGTGTAGTGACCACGACCGCCTCGGGAAAGCGCATCCGGAAGAACCACGCCTGTGAGATGTGCGGCAAGGCCTTCCGCGACGTCTACCATCTGAACCGACACAAGCTGTCGCACTCCGACGAGAAGCCCTACCAGTGCCCTGTGTGCCAACAGCGCTTCAAGCGCAAGGACCGCATGAGCTACCACGTGCGCTCACATGACGGCGCTGTGCACAAGCCCTACAACTGCTCCCACTGTGGCAAGAGCTTCTCCCGGTGTGCACGGGGCCCGGTGTGCACGGGGCCCAGGCCTTGGCCGCTCTCTAGGCCGTGGGGAGGGAGGGACTGCGATGGAGGTGGCCTGGCCTTGGCTGGTGGGGAGGGAGGAGGTTTCTGAGGATGGGGACTGAGAGCCACTCCCAGGGAGGAGGGAGAAGAGCCTCTCTGGGTTACCAGGGAGCAGGGGGTGGTACTTAGCAAAGGGGGTGGGTCTTAGGATTGTTGGAAAGCGTGGCGTGGACAAGGCAGCCCTGCTCCAGGGGAGGGGTTTCCTGCCCGACTAGGACTCTGATGCCCCGGGCTTGGGAGGAAATGCAGGGACCTGGGAAAGGTCTCTTGTACTAGGTTAGGCAGATGTGGGGGCGTCTCTACAGCACAGGGCCTAACCCCATCCCCAACGTGTCCCCAGGCCGGATCACCTCAACAGTCACGTCAGACAAGTGCACTCAACAGAACGGCCCTTCAAATGCGAGGTAGGAGGCCCTCTTCCTGTCTTGGTTTTCATGATTTTGATCCTCATTGTAGTTGTCTGAGTTCAGCCTCTCAGACCCCCTTTTTCTCTCTTTTTGCTTTTTCACTCCATTTTCTCATCCCTTCTTCAAGGCCTCATCGTCTCACTCCCATTTCCTACAGATCAAAGATCCCCAAGGCTCTGATTCCTTTAACCTCTTGTTCCCCTCTCCCCACTCCCTGAAGCTTTAACTCTCCTGACACCCCCCACACCCCTCCCCCTTCCCCAGAAATGTGAGGCAGCTTTTGCTACGAAGGATCGACTGAGGGCGCACACAGTACGACATGAAGAGAAGGTGCCATGTCACGTATGTGGCAAGATGCTGAGCTCGGCTTATATTTCGGACCACATGAAGGTGCACAGCCAGGGCCCTCACCATGTCTGTGAGCTCTGCAACAAAGGTACATGCTGAGGGATGCTGGGAGGGCCAGGGACAATGGGTGGGGACAGAGCCAGAGGCCCTTTCGCAGATGTGAGTTAAAGGTGCTGTAACTGAGAGCTCGTGGCATCTAGAGCCCGCTAGGAAGCAAATGAAGCAACTTTGGGCCCACTGAACATCATTAAGTTCTAAGAGGTCATGGCTGGAAGAGATGATCTACTAGAAAGAGTCAACTTCTGGGTGTGCGTGGGGAGGATGGGAATGGGACGTGGCTATTTTGGGGAAGGAATGGTCAAGAGTGCCCAAGGGTTGAGAGACAAGGTTTCAGCTGTGCAGCCACAGTTTCTCATCTTCGGCTCCTGCGACAAGTGGAGTACTTTGGCAGGAGTTTAACAAGCATGCACCCTGCCCCAGTAGCAGAGAAAGCTGCTTTTAAAAAGACTTGCTTATTCACCGAATAACTGGGCTGAGACTATATGGGGCACTGGAGGGAGGGGACACAGCCGTCTCTACTGAGGGTCAACCCTTCAAGTGGCTAGGAATCAGTGGCCTGTCACCCCAGGAGAGATCCCTCAGCCACAGAGGATGGGTTCTGGGTACCAATGCCAAGGAGCGGACACTACTCAACTAGGTCCAAAGCTCAGGGTGGGGCTGCGACCTACCAGCCCCAGCAGAGTAGTTGGCCCCAGGTTACCAAGGATGTGGGAGGAGGACAGGGCCATCTGAGGAGAGTGTCCCCAGCCTAGGAGAATAACCCCGTCTCTGGGGTCTCCACCTGGCTGAC